ATCCTTCTAAAGTTTTATTATAAATAGGAAAATGAAAATACTTCTAACTTTAAGATATACTATTTATCTTCCTTGCGTGAAAACATATTTTATAAATTTTAGTATTTTGATTGCTAACATAGTACGGCTGCGATAGAAGGTGTACCGATTTTATAATTATCAATCGCAATATCAAAAATTTTATCAAAAACCGTTACACTAAACTTTTTATATACCATTTTTTTCTTACATCTCTATAATATTATGACAATTTTTAATGATATAATTTACAGTTAAAAAATTTATACCGTTTTAGATTACTATATTCACTATAAATAATAGGTAGAGATTATACTATATTCACTATAAATAATAGGTAGAATCCATAATCTCAACAAGAAGACACATAACTATTACAGTAAAGACAGCTCAACACACATTTTTTTATGCATATTCCTGATAATAAACGAAGGAGATATAATAATAGAAAAAGAATTGCTGACCTCAAATCAGAGTCAATGGGTCAAGCAAGTCAAGGGAAAGTTCGTAATTGATATGGTCATTTTACGGATCTGGACAAACATTTCACTATTTACATTAAAAATTCATTATTAAAGGAAACACCGAAACACGGATCCGACCATGTTGAAAATTTATGTATTCACGTACAAATTTTTCTTCAGCATGGGACACTACTCGCGCCGATATTATTGAATTTTGTCTATCCATATTTTACTCTCTCTCTTTTTTTTTTTTTGGCTTTTATAACAAGTTATATAACTTATTGTTATCATTTATTTTAGTTGGTTTGGACTGAGACTTGAGAGTTTCTAACGTTCAAGTCTTTGGACGGTATACTTGAGATATCTTATGATTCGATTTCTAGGTACTTAACAATTACTAAAGGAATTTTTAGCAAAAAAGAAAAGAAAAACCAATTACTAAAGAACCTTTAAAATATAATATCTTCAAGATTTTATATTTATAATAATATTTTATTCGCAGATTTAGAATACCAAACTAATTTAACATGTTTCAGTCTCTAATATGAAAATGACTGTAAACTCAAATCCATAACTTCTAAAAAAAAAAATGATTTAGCCAATTAACAATCATTTATTACACATGTTTAAATTCTGGTAATACATGTCTTGATCAAACTAGAATATATCCATTGATTTAGCCAATCACAGTTAAATAATTTCATAGACAGTGAGCTTTATATGTTCTTGTTTTACTTTACTTTTTTTTTCCGAAAGTCTTTTAATTTTAATTTTAAATGTCTACTAGACCTTATAGAAGACAGCTTTCTAGATTTATCTTCACTTTCCAACGACTTTCCTTCCGAACAAATCCAAAACCTCTTTGCTTTTAATTTTCTTTCTTTATCCTTTTTAGTTTTTTATAAATAAAACCCCCTTTTTCCTCTGAATCACTTCTCATTCTCACTCGGACCAACTTGCGACCGAAGAAAGCAAATCGAGACTTAGTCTCTACGCAACAACCACTCCTTAATCTGGTCTCTTTGTGTCCTAAACATAGTAGTTAATGGATTGTTCTTCGTTTCTTGACATCTCTCTCGATCTCAATACCAACCCTTTCAATCATGTTTTCTCCGACAAACTTCCGGTGAGTCCGGATTCCGTTTGGTCTAATCTAATACTAATAATTTCTTTCCATTAGTTGTCTAATCATGGGTTCGTTGAAATCTTTCATATTTCAGAAGAAGGAAGTCTCGCTTTCGAATTCTGCTAATTTAGAAAGGAAATGGTTGGTGAAAGATGAGGTTAGTTATTTCGTCGAACACTTGGTGTGCAAATTGGTAATGAAAGCAATTAGGATGGATCTGAGTTTGAATCTTTGAATAATCTCATCTCTCTTATATCGAAATTAATCGGCGATGATGTATTAAAAAGCTTTAGAGTATAAAGTCGAAACCCTTTATAAATTAATCATTTTGGTAATTGTGAAATTTTGATCTTTATGGTAATGAAACAGAGCGCAAGTGAGTTAAGAGAGGAGCTAAACAGAGTCAACTCAGAGAACAAGAAGCTTACAGAGATGCTAGCCGCAGTCTGTGAGAATTACTACGCGCTTCAAAATCATTTGGAGAAGCTTCAGTGTCGAAGGAGCCCTGATATCGATCAGACCGAACAACCGACAAGGAAAAGAAAACAAGACCAGGATGAGTTCATAGGCTTTCCGATTGGTCTCGGTAGTGGAAAAACCGAGAATAGCTCCAGCAACGAAG